CAAAAAAAATTAAAACGTATCCAGTATAGTATACCCAGTCGCTAGTATAAAATAATGGAGTGTAAAAAAAAATATTTGTATTTGTGTTTATCACCATGTTATATTATGATTGGTAATCGGTTTCATCGCAAGTGTAACCGCAGAAAAAGCTAGTGTATTATAATCTAACACATAACTGAAATTATTACTCGATATGATAAAAAATTCATATGGTTAGCGATTAAAAATTCAATACGTGCTTCGAATGTGGCGCGTGTCTATAACGTGAAGTCTGCTACGGTAGGATTAAAAGAATAATTTATCTTTGAAAAAATCTTAGACGTAGTGCAGATAATTTTGATTACTTTTCATATTTTTTTAAATAAACGCTTGCTTAATTCTAATTTGATAGAATTATTTTTCTAATGCTTAAAAGTTTTAAAGTTAGTAGTTACTTGGTGTTGGTAGTTGTAAAATGAACTTGATAATAAATCGCTATTTAAGCCCATCCCCCCCCCCCCCCACCCCCCATCCCCAAAAAACACTGTGCTGATTTACATTTCCATACTAATTATAAATAAGTGCAAATCTTATTGAGATTAATATCAATATAATCAATTATTAATTCGAACTTACTGTCAAATATTAACAATTAATTAAAAAGGAAATAAAACACCCATTTACATCTAACAATACAGCTGTTAAAGCAACTCTAATCAGAGCATTATCAAGCGATGCGATCCGATCACTGAACCGTCGGTTTATTATGCGATTTTCACCCCTAAAACAAGAACGTTAAGGAGGAAAATTCTAAAATATTTTTCTTATGTGATCAGCTGCGACGAACGTGCTGAAGCGATAACGAATCGCAATAAAATCGCTAGCAGCTGGACTAACGTGTTTTTATTTTTTACCTTCAAAAAAGGTTTGAATTTTATATACTTTTTGGTTCTATTCTGTAAGTACGTGATACGTAATGAAATTGCTCGCCTTTGCTTCATTGGGAGAGAATATAAGTGTGCGTAATTTAATGCTGAACGTATTATCTAGTTTAGTATTATTAAACCAGGGTTGAAGCCTTTAAAAATAATTAAAAGTGAAAAAGATAGTAGTAGGATGAAACCCATTGGAAAAGGAGGAGAATAATATAAAAAAGAAAGGAAACATAATTTACGGGCGATCTTAGGTCGGGAAGGGGAAGGGGGTGAGTTTTTAAGGGTAAAAAACGGCTTATCTCGATTTCCGGCAAAACTACAAGTCCTATGGAAAAAAGTCAAATGGCAAAGTTGTAGGTAATAAAAAGATCTACAACTTTTGTATTACCACTTTTTTTACATAACCTCAAAATTTATGTGAAAAATTCAAAAATCAAGTCTTTGGTTTTTTATTTTTATCATTTACAAAAAAACATTTTTTTCACGAAATTTGCTGAAAACTTCCCTTTTTATGTCTTACAATAACTGTAATTTATTGGATTTGAAAAATTTATTTTTTCACCTTATTTTGACTTAATATCGAAAAGGCACCCTAATTTTCAATCGAAAATTCACCCGTCAAAATATCAGCTTTTTTCAAAAAGTTGGTGTGCTTTCTGTTCGTTGAAATCTCTACTTTCCGATGGTGAAAAAGTACAGGTTGTAGATATTTTTATTACCTACAACTTTGCCATTTAACTTTTTCCCATTTTACTTGTAGTTTTGCCAGAAATCGAGATAAACCGTTTTTTACCCTTAAAAGCTGACCCCCTCCCACTTCCCGACCTCAGATCGCCCGTAAATTATTTTTCCTTTCATTTTTGTTATATTCTCTTTCTTTTCCAATGGGTTTCATCCTATTATTTTTTTTGTTTCAAAAATTATTGATCCTGGTCTATATATGATCTGTGGTATTATATAAAATTTTATTCATTATAGATTGTGATGATATTGGTTAATTATAAATTTTAATTATTATTTTTAAAACATTGTTTTTAACCACGAAAAAATTGATCTTTACGCATTTGCAGAAAAGGCATTTCACTATATTTTCACATCAATTTAATATAAATTTTTAACACATTACTACTATATTAATTCATAAAATAGGAAATTGTGATTATATGTACGTAATATGAAATACAAATCTAAATAATATATTTAACGAGAAACCGATTGTCAATTTTCGGTTCCCACCAAAAATAATATTCTCTTCAAAGCCCGCATTGCCAAAGTACGTTATTTAAAATCATATTAAACTTTATTGAGCCGTAACAAGACTTGCACAAACACAGAGCTATATCGTAGTGCTATTCTTTACGGGCGCTGGTTTTTAATACGAACAATAGCAGTTTAAAACCACTAATCGATTCAAAACGGTGAAACGTTGAAATATCGATTGCTTTAAGAATACTTTCATTCGGTTTTTATTTAACGAAATGTACTTAATTTAAAAGATTCTTTCTATACATTATATATTTTTTTAGTTTATTTGGAATCTAATAGAGGATGAATCTACAATTTTTAAAGTAGGATAAACATCTAAGTATTAGTACTTAATCGCGTCACTTCGGTCAGGCTCAGGCCCTACCTAGCAATTGCACCCCGCGTGTCTTTAGAAATCCACCTTAGATGACTTTTGAAATTTTACATTGCAAGGGTTGTAACCCTTAAATTTTACTATAGAATGCCTTTTGAGAAGCACAAATTATTTTGAACTTTCGATAATTTAATTCAAAATGCATAAGTTTCTTTTTGTATAATATATATATATATATATATATATATAGTATACATAAGGAAAATTGTGTATTTTTGTCCTAATTTGACCCAAAATGGCGCTAGTCATTTGTCATCTTATTGAATTCAATTCTGTAGTTTATGATTTTTGGCGTGCCACTTTAGCACAATTCACTCTGTCAATGTCGCGTAGAAGTCATCCTATTTAAAAATCTTTTATTTTTAACTTCTAGGTTAGTTTGTCGTCGACAACATAAATTAATAACAATTTAATTCTCACCTTTCGATCGATTTGATTGACCTACTAAAAGACTTTGAGAGAAAACTAAATAAATAGATAGCTTCTTAGTAGTTACGTCATATATCGTATATACGGATGGTTTTCATGCTATTATGCGCAAGAAAGCTATTTCTTTGATGCAGCGTCTACGTGAAAGCAACAACAGTATTTTAAAGTGTATTTCGGCCAGAATATACTGCCCCTTTCAGAAACACTGGATGGAGTTGGCCATTGGGCTAAGATAAACAAAAATTAAATAAATAATATTTTTTGAAAAAAATACTAACAATACTAACATAGTATTAAGTATAATTGCTACTAACCAATTAACAATATATGGATGTACTTACGTCTGAAATAAAGATTATTACAACTTTTTAAGTATTTTTAAGTAGGAAAATTAGCGAAAATGGTTGTTAACCAACTTTAAATCATTATATATCCTAAACTGTTATTTAAAATCAAAAATGATGAAAGAAACCTAAAAATGATTTTTAAATACCTATTCAACGGTACCCTACTTGACATAGTTCGTCGATTTTCATTTTCTTTTTTTTCACATTATGGAATCTAGCAGCCCCCATATTTTTTTTTGGTGTCACCTATTTAAGAACACTTGGACTAATGAGATCCAGGTGTTCATAAATAGGTGACACGAAAAAAATTAAATATGGGCGCTTTTGCAATTTTTTAAATTTTTTAAAACTTTGTGCCACAAAAATACACGTGATTTTCATAGGACATATTACTAGGTACAACATAGTAAAGTTTTATTCAGGAAAAGTCGTGACATGTGCCAAGTGCTCTATAAAAAGTAATGGTTCTAAATAATTTTGCCGTCCCCAAACATTTGCGCCCAACTTTAAAACTCAATAACAGGATACAAGCTTGATTGGCTCGTAATTTTTAGTATACGTCGTTAACTCTATATTGTAGTTGACTATTTTGAAAACTGCTGCGTTTTTACGACTTATTTACAAAATATGTATTTTTAAATTGGATATTAGCTTCTGTTATATTAAACAGGATGTTCATACTAGCAACAGCTTGAGGACATTTACAAAATTAGAATCTGAATTAAAATTACATCCTACTTTTGGATGAAATGTACTTATTACTTTTTAATCGATTTCTTAAGAAATCTGAGTCGATTAAAACACAGCTATCGATATTTAATATCGAATAACATTATTTTATAATTTTGTGTTGCTTTTTTATATGAACTGGAATAGACCAATGCGCATTGACCGAGTTCTTAAGCAACATATTATGTATAAGTTACTTGTTTATTTGATTAAATTGATACATAATTAACGGACTTGCTATTATAAAGGGTGTATAAAATTGGATAAATAAAAAAAAAACTAAATATTATTACTATTTAACACTTGAATACGACGACTGTGTGTGTGAAAGGCACCCTATTAATTTTACGCAACTATATAATCGTATTTCACGCTTGACACTCGTTTTATTTTTTACATTGCCTCGTAATCTTATTTTTTATTTTAGCCTACAGTGAAAACGACCTTCAAAAAATGCAATCAATTGTAACATTAAAAAATTTAATGTGCTACAATCAGAGCGTGGATATTGCATTATGATTACGGTAAATACTTCATATTAAACTGTTTTAAATAAATAAATATATTTTTTGTTTCGTATTAATAATTGTAGCAATAAACAATCGTTTTTTTTCTTAAATACTAAAGTCTTTTAACTTTCATCGAAATCAAGTATGTACTCGCCCATATTATACATCGCAATCGATTAAAAGGAATAAATCTCAATTTATCCCATATAACTTACACGCCACCTAGGACAGGCATACGTTGACATGGAACTATGTTATAGGTCGATAAATTATTTAACACATATATAAAATATCTCCATTCGATTTTCCATACAGCCGTTACAGCGAAAATTTTCGCATATTAGTCTGAAATATATTTTTTTCTATATGATCTTATGGTAATAGTATTAATATTGTTGATGAATCGTGTTAATGTTGATCCTTTTTGTTACAGGCTTTCATCTTAGCGGGGTAGTACGCGCCCCGGCCGCGGTACCACCGTGCTCCGAACCTGAAAGGTTATACAGGGTTACAGTGTCCTTTGACAGGTGAATATATTATAATTTATTAAACAAAATACTAGCCTTTAACCACTAAAATTTTATTTAGATACAGGAAATGATGTATAAGTCAAAGAAAAAACTTTAGGAATTCTTGTCCCAGATTTTTGCAATATTCTTGAATTTTTATACAGAACAGTAAAACATTAATGTGTCTCACGACCAAGATATCTTGGTGCAAGGTATCTTGTAAACACCAATGAAAATGAAATGGGCCTAGTAGATAACTTTTTTATTTGTTAATTTCCTTTTAGGAATTTTATTATTATATACAAATATTTGCTAGCGGCTTCACTCACGAGGTTGGCTTTTGTATAATTACTCCGCTCCCAAGGGTCGCAGCCTCATATTCTAATATACCTAACCTTTAACGTTCATCAATAAATAGGCAACAGAATGTAAAAAGGACGTTTTAAATCATATCTGTTATTTCCAGAGTCTAGCACGTTCAACAAACATAAAAACAAACAACCTATTCACCTGTATATTTGTATAAATATTATAAAAGTGAAAGTTTGTGAGTATGTATGTTTGTTACACTTTCACGCCAAAACGGCTGGACAGATCTGGATAAAATTTGGCATAGAGATAGATTATAGTCTGGAATAACACATACTCTACTTTTTATCCCGACAAAATATACGGTTCTTGAGGGATAGGTTTGGTTTTGTTTTTAGGGTGAGCCGCTAGTTATCTATATTAGTTCGGATGAAATTATGATATTCTAAAATCTATTTCTATATATTACTTAAAAAAAAAAAAAAACACTTCACTAAACGATACTTTTACGAAGCGACAGATTTATTTATACAACTTCTTTACAATCAATTGCATTTTTAACCCTAAAAAATCTGCTTAAATGTAATCGACCTTCAGATATTTTCTCAGTCTCAAGTAACAAAGCAAGAAATTTAAAACCTCGTTACTATTGTTAAAACAGGATGAAATATAAAAAGACGCCACCAAAAGGATCTACCTGAGTCCTTTGTTAAACAAAGTATCACTAAACAAATTGCTTACAAGACACAGTATTGAATATCGTAGCCTAGTATAAACTATAGAAACAGCTAAATTGTAGGGAATTGTGGAAAATGCGGAGAATCGATTGTTAAAAGTTTAAATTTTTACCAACCTTGCCATTCAATAGATCATAACTTTGAATATGTTTAAATACATTGCGTCTACATTGGTTAGCTAACAAATAATTCAAAAAATAAAATAATACGAAAGTGAGTTATTTTTTTCAATATATCCAGCGAGTCATCTTAACATCGTTCAAGAGCTTTCGTAGGTTCCTAAAGTTTAAGTTAGACTAGGTGCTACTCTTGGTATTGTCTATCTGTGTACTAAATTTAAATCAGTGTGAATGAGAAATAAACATACAAACACACAAGAAAACAAGATTTCTGAACCCTTAGATACCAATCTATCGTTTTATAAATTTTAGCTACTCTTGGATTGGAATTGTCAAACATCCGCCAATAAAGCGATACTATTCGCGCATGCAAAGTGCTGTTTTGATAGAATTATTGAGTACTGCGCAGCCATTTGCAACATGTTTCAGAACAACAACATTATAAAACAATTGTTATACTTATATACGTTTGCGGTTTAAACTTATTAAAGTGCTTGATTATATTATTAGTAGCGGTTTTTCGCGGCTCCGCCTGCGTCTTTTAAATTTGTAGAATTTCTCCGCTCTCGTAGTTTGTAGTGTGATGTAAGAGTGCCTTAAACTTTCCTTAGTAAAAATACCATGAAACAAAAAAACTATTTTTCAAATTAGACCGGTAGATTCAATTATTAACACGTTCAAACTAAAAACAAACAAACTCTTCAGCTTTATATATTAGTGTAGATAATCACTTATTATTATATCTAGGCCAATAGTAAAACCAGTAAAAACGTAGACAATGTTTTGTTTTCGGGAAGATAACATTAATTTTTCTTATCTTTCCAGATGCAAGATAACAGGAGTGACGTGCAGCTGCGAGGCGAGGGATATATTCTGGTGCCAACATGTTGTAGCGCTAGCGTTGTATCGCATACGAAATGCGGACTCAGTGCGATTACGTGTGCCCATATCAGGTATACCTATCGTCATACTAATTGTCCTTAATACTTTCTTAGATTTACGCGATTGTTTGACATCTATCTATACAATAGATAATAAAATTCTGAGTCGAGTCTGTACATTAAATATTTTTTGGAAAATCTTATTTAAATAGTCATTATTATAGATATAAAGGCCGAATCTATAATTTTTAGAATTTTTGTCTGAAAACCACTGGACAGATTTTGATGAAATTTGGTATGATGATAGCTCGTTATCCGGGTCAACATATAGTATACTTTTTACTGTGAGAAAATATTTTATCTCTGAGAAATCTATACTAAACGTTAAAACGTAAGTAGGGACGAACCCGAGCGGAGCGAGGGTAAGTCACTATTTTCAAATAAAACTATCATTTCTTTTCGCATATTTCTAATTTTCCTTATTAATATAATAAATATGTGTTTATTTGTTCATCTGTTGGGTTTTAAATGGCCATGAAACTCCTGTACTAATATAGGTGTAATTAAAGATTTAGATTAAAGAAAAATATATAGGTAGTTGTACAATGTTTGTTTTTTCGGAACGTATATACGTTTCAGATACGAGATTATTTTAACTTGAAAATAAAAATAGAAGTTTTACCGAAATTCATATATTGTATGATTGTTGTTTTATCGGAAATATTTGTTTGCAAAATATGCGTGTATACATATGTATGTATATTGTATAGCTTTTTTCGTTAAAAAAGTACTAGATGTTGTGAAACCCTATTTTATCGAATCTTTTAAAATTTAGACTAACTTATTGCCTATTTTTTTTGTTTTGTGATTCTATAAATTATACTTCCAGAAACCCTCCTCCAAATGGACAGGCAACAGCTACAGAAATTTGTGCAATATCTCATAGCAGAACACCATACAGAGGTGTTGCCTACTGCCCAGCGGTTGGCTGATGAAGTCCTGCAGGCCAGGTCTGCGATTAACAGGATCTGTGGTGCTCCGGATCCCACCGCTGGGCCCCCGCCTGATGCGCATCATGCTTGGCACTTGGATGAACAGCAGGTATGACTCATGCCATATTTTTTCTAGGAATCCGTACCCGAAGGATACCAACGGGACCCCACTATTAAGTCTCCACTGTCCGTCCGTCCGTCTGTTTGTCAGCGGGCTTGTATCTCATGAACCATTAATATGTAGAGAGTTCAAATGTTCAGAGTGTGTTTTCCGTTATAACAGCAAATAATAAAAAATCCAAGATGACGAATTTCAAAAACGTACATGTATTGTTACATTTTGTACGATGGTATAGAACCTTTCGTGTGCGAGTCCGACTCGCACTTGATCGGTTTATTTTTGTTTTTTTTTATTAACTATCATGGTAAGCGTGTACTGCATTATGCCTTATCAGTATGGCCATACTTACAAACACACGATAAAGACTCTTTAGACAATTTACTTTCTACTACCGATATCTTTAGTTGAAATATGAGAATAACATCATGTGGTCCTATGTGAATTTATGCTAAGATATAGTGTCCAGTGCATGCTTACAAGTCTTTTCTGTGTTATATTAGTTTTTTATCACAGTAAACAAACGACCGTAAAAAGTTAACTTGTTTAAGCGTTCTTCTAATTTTAGACAACGAGAAAGAAATATGTTTAGAATTAACGTGTGTCTGTTTGTTTTTCGTAAGGTTTTAATTATTCTACCATAACATTTGTTACATAATGTTTTATATGAGAAAGCAAAACCAGCCGAAAATGACCAAAAAACATGCAGAAAATTAGGAGTTAATTATATTTATTAAATTATTATTAATTTAATTTTAAATTAGTCTACTTCTTGTGCTAAACACATATAAATCCCTTTTATATCGTACCATAATTTTTATTTGATTTCAGGTCTGCGAACAAGTGCGAGCGTACTTATTACAGGGAACTTATTATAATGCAAATAAACAACTAAATTCATTATTTTCTAAGGTAAGCATTATAATGTAAGAGATGACTTTAAATAATTTGAAATTAACAACATGATGTTATTAACCTTATATTGCGGTTTTATATCATATCTGTATCCTCTAATAATAATAATAATCTACATATTTGGACATCCTTGTCAAAAATGTTATAATATTTTTCTTATTATTCATATGAAATAAAAAAATATTTCAACCTTTTAACCTTTTAAAAAAAAGTGGAGTAGTAGCTTAATTTTTTTTATCATGCATATAAAAGTCTGATTATTAACTCTGCCCAGACAAATAGACAGAGCAAAAAACATGTTATTATGACATCTGTTTACCCAATGAAGATTAGAATTCAATTTTAAATGAAACTTTTATATAAAACTATATTTTCGGATTATTTCGCGGATTAATTTTGATTTTTGGTTCCCGACGTTTCGAATGCTTTACAGCATTCATGGTCACGGGAGAGACTGAGGTGTTAGATGTCTCGAAGGTATAGTTGTTACAGACAACCTACCTACAATTAACAAAATGAAAAATTGCACCAATTACCTTACAATATTTTAACTTTAAACATTTTTATAATATTAATTAGTTTTATAATTGAATATGGAATATTATTTATTTAATTTTGCTATTATTATTATAATTATTACAAGTTTTATTTAAAATGTCAAATATTCGCGTAAATCTAAGAAAGTATTATTTAAATGAAACTGTCTTTTTGCATTTTTTCGCGGATTAATTTTGACTTTTGGTTCCCATTGTTTCGAATGCTTTACAGCAATCATGGTCATAATGTCAAATATTACGTAAATCAAAGAAAGGATTAGAACTTAATTAAATTAGCCGTATTTGAAGATTTTGCACAAATATATGAAAAAAAAATATAAACATAATATATGTATAGTATTGTTTTTTTTATTTTAGGTTCGAGAAATGTTGAGAGCACAAGACTCAAATGGTCCTAGAATGCTCATGCTTATGACTGAACAGTTCCTATCAGACCCTAGGTTGCTTTTATGGAGGAACCAAAACACCCCCATGACGGAAAAATGTAGGCAATTATGGGAACAATTAGGTGCTTTATGGGTCAGTATAGTGTTAGATCCGGGGAGTAATAAACACCATAGGATGCAATGGAGGCATTTGCTGGATAAGTGGTCAGCTGTCGAGGTTTGCCCGACAGAGGACCCTGATTACAGATCATTTCCTTTGGTGAGTGTTATATATGATATATATCATATATTTTTAATGAAAGTAGTGTTATGGCAATACCATATTAAATTGACCGGGAATTATATTTTAATTCATTTTGTTTGAATTATTTTGGTTTTCATCAAACTGAAAATCTGATATATTTAAAGCGCATCGAACTAAATTTGATTTTGTTAATTATTTAAGTTAGCTAATTACATATTCATCTTTTATGTGTGGACTTTTTTAAATTCATAACAAACTGTTGAAAATAACACATATGTGGTCTCACATAAATTAGAAAGAATCAAGTATGTATGAATTAACTACTTCTAAGTGATTTTCTAGTGCACGTTTTTGAATAAGCTCTACGCTTACATTTGCCAGAGATTTTTTGTTTCCTTCTTATTGAATTTCTTTTCATTTTTCTTAGTACGCGAGAGAACGGGAAAGAAACGAGAGGGATCGAGACAGAGATCACAGAGACAGGGACAGAGAACGGCATCGAGATAGAGAAGACAGGGATAGAGAGAGGCTACGGGAAAGAGAGGAGAGAGATAGGTACTAGAATCAATCAAATCTTTCCTGCTTGATTTTTTTTAAAGTAAAACTTCTATAGGCGTGATTGAGGAGTAAGTCAGTACATTGGAAAAATGAGTGTAGCAGAAGTGAGAATTTATTATATTTATATTTAGTTTTGATATAATTGCGGTATCTGCACAGCGCCAATGAAGGTTATATATAATATTAATTTCACTTCTACCACGTGTGAATTGCATACACACGCACTTTTTTTTGTATCATTTTGTAGTCAAAAGGTCCTGTGGTGCTCGTCTCTTCAATCTACGTAATGTGGTGTTTGGGAGTTTACCCATTAAATTGTTGTCGGTTACGACCATTTTGCATAGGTTTTTTGTATGTTTTAAGGAAATCGGCTATTTTGGTCTTGATGCTTGATATACGTTCATAAAATAATTAATCTTTTAGGGTTTTGTGCCAAATTCTTAGAATATTATTATTATTTTAATGTTTTCCAATTTCTTTTTTCAGAGAAAGACATAGAGAGAGGCAAAGGCGAGAAATGCATTCCCATTCAGAAAGTTCTGATGAAGAATCTAGGCCTAATAAGTGAGTATTTAAAAAAAGTAAAAATAAAACCGCGAAACTGTAACTTAGCGTTAGGAAGCTAAAAATTGATAGATAAAAAGAAGATTTGAATAAAGTATGGAATATATCTGTGATAGAAATTTTAAATATCTCATCACAAAATATGTTATGGATATTCCCAATGTTATTTTAATTTTAGTAATAAAATATAGATACAGAATTTTTAACTTTTATAAACTAAAACAATGTTTAACTAATATTGTGTATGTTTTCATATAAGTATGATTATAATAAATAATAATATAATGGACTATGGCCTGATCCCCCTCGCAGTGAAAGGAAGCCCGTGCCCAGCAGTGGGACATTAAAAGGTGCTGAAACATACATACATACAAGTAATAATAATAAAACTCTATATTTCAGCTATGAACGTGAATATAGGAGAGCAAGTAAAAGACTTCGACTGCACAATCAGAGACCTGCCCAGCTGACTCCCCGGACGGTGTTCCACAAGTAAGTAATGAAGAAAATCTATCTCCTTTGGCTAAGTGTGGCTTACGTTGACAACCGGACTGTGGCTTACATTGAGAACAGGTGTGGCTTGACAAAAGGATCCCACAAAATGTTCAAAAGGCTTCTATCGCCAAATTAAAAAAAATTGTTAAAGAACGTTTGTGTGCTAAAGACTATTATACAATAAATGATTTTATAGAAGATGGCACACCTTAGGTATGAAATGATCGTCTCCAGGCTACTTCAACTTGATAGAAATATTGTAAATTATAATTTTACTTTAAATAAAAAAAAAATTCTTCGACCTTCCACCTTCCTTAAAAAATATTAATTGGACAGCTGTGTACTTAAATATTCTCATATAATTTAATAAATTACATTAATTTTGACATTCCAGAGCCTTAGATGCAGTGGATATATCGTGGGAGAACGAGCATCTAAAGAACATTCTGAGTTCAGACGAGTTCTGTGACCCTGAAACGGAGAAACCTGACAAAGCCGGTGCTTCCACTGGGTCTACAGCCTTACAGCCATACCCTAAATTCAACGAAATTGGCCAACCCTTATGGCATGGTAAGCAATTTTTCAATATTCATAGTAATCTGCCTAGACGATAATTGTATGAAGATCTGAACATACATATAAAGCTGAAGAGTTTATTTTGTTTGAACTTGTTGAGAACTAGAAGTACTAGTTGGATTAAAAAACTCGTATTTTATAGTTATTTATTAAAGGAGTGTACGCTCGTAAAGGTTTCTAAAAAAATATAAGTTAGGTGACCCCATCGATCTATCTCGATCGTTTCCCAAGCTTTACCACTGCCTTTTCAACTTGATTACCACTTATCTTACGGTGAACGCAAATATCGTGAAGAAATCTGCACGTTTGAGAGAACATAGCAAATTTTCGAAAGACATGTCATTCAGAAAAAGAAAGACATTCAGTCCGCCAATTCGCACTTGGCCAGTGTGGCAGACTATGGCCTGATCCCTCTCGTATTGATGGGAGGACCATGCCCAGCAGTGGGACGTTAAAAAGGCTGAATATATAATTTATTATTTGTTTGAATTTCAGAACATCTCCCAGTAGTGGGAGCGCGGATAGAGGCGCTACGAGCGCACGGTCGCGCGCCCGCCGCCCTGCGCCTCGCGGTGGCGGCCGCTCGAGCCATGAGGCATAGACAGGTTTGTTTGTACATACAATTGTTCTTCTTTTACTCTTTTTTTCTTCTTGTACTTCTACTTCTTTTCTTCTTGTTCTTCGTCTTCTTCTTGTAATGGAAATGGAAAGTGGCTGTTGAGTAATTCTTTTGAGAAAAGCTGGAAAGCGTTTTTTAATTTCTTTTTATCTAATGTGAACTTAAAACAAATATAAAATATGAAAGAGATTTGAAAAACAAAAAAAGAATACATTTTGTCACGCATTTCAAAAACAGTTTGTATGTGTCTATGTTTTTGACCTCAGGCAACATTTAATCTATTGTTGGGTATGTAATGACGCACCTGAGCCATCGATCAAAGAAATTCTAGATACACAATCCCACGCAATAGTTCTCTTATAAGTATCATCAATTGTGTTTAAGTAATTATTCTAGTTGAAATAAGTATACAACAATGCAAATTGAACCTTAAATACGATGTTTAAAATTGTTTTCACAAAAATATTTTTAAATGAAAAGCGCGCTCAAATATTCAAATGAGCGCTCATTCGATGGGGACAATTTTTTGTCGCCAAGTGACCCGAACAAAACGAGTATAAATCCGTCTCGTCTCTTAACTAATGTTGAAATAATTTAATACTTATAGGAAGTGGCTCAGCAACGCTGGCAAGAAGCCGGCGGGGGCGAAGCGTCCAGCAGCGGAGGCGGCGGCGGCGGCGCGGGCAGCGCGTGCGTCGGGGACTCCTGCACGGGCCAGTGCGACCGCGCCAAGATATCCCTGGTGTGCGCGCACATGGACGCCGGCGCCTGCCTCGCCGCGGGCAACACGTGTGCGCTCTCGCACTCGCAGCGGTGTATCGGGAGAGGTATGTGGTTAACATAATACTTTCTTAGATTTACGCAAATATTTGACATTTTAAATAAAATTATCTTTTCAGATTATTTCGCGAACTTATTTTGATTTTTGGTTCCTAACGTTTCGAATGCTTTACAGCAATCACGGTCACGGGAGAGACAGGAAGACAGAAGAGAGGTCTCTCCCGCCGGGAACCAAAAATCAAAATAAATCGGCGAAATAATCCGAAAAGAGAGTTTTATTTAATACGTATGTGGTTTTTGTTTAATCTTTAGCTTTTTAATACTTGTATTTTTCTTAGTGGAAAAGTGATTTTGCATTAAATAGTCCATATATTGGGGACGGGTATCTGTTACGTTAAAACATAATATTATTAATGTGTAAGAGTGTGCTATCTTTAATTAATATGTAAGCTACTTTTATTGATGTGTGCCTTTTACGCGAGCGGGGCTGCTGGCAAAAATTATTAGACTATATCAGGCTTAGAGACTACATCGTGTTGCTTGTTATTTTAAGAATAAGGAACTTAGACAAAACGTTTTATTACTGAAAAATATAAATTAAAAAAATTATATTACAACGAATAATTGAATGGTTATGTCATTGAATTATAACATGCAATTTTTAAGATTTACATCCTCCAATTCTTCAACCTAACCTAAACCACCTTTTATGCAAGTTACGGCGGATTCCAATAACCTATCTATCTTCCGCTTTCATCGCTAGAACTAGGATAAGTCAAACTATCTCTAATAAGGAAAACCTGAGATAAATACTAATTGTAGCGATAACAATATAGATAGCAGATGTTGGACGGGTTGGACGTTGGAGGCGATCTGGTGCGTGTACGAGTGCCTCGCGGATGCGTGCCTCGCGCCCGACGACCAGCGCGCGTCGCCGCGACTGCACACATACATCGACGAGGAACCGAACACGGGACTACCTCCTAGGTAAGTTGTATTATATTGTTATGTTCTGTGAATTTTGTAATTGGAAATTCAAGCACATTTTTTATAAAATTCAGGCAAAATTCAGCCTGTAAACACTATTTTTCACTTCCTAGATACACTTTCATTACGACATCAATCCACTTTTGTTTACTTTTCTACTTTATCTTATTTCTTCTCAGTGCCGAAATTCAACTGATCGATTGAACGATCAATACACTGCCGACCTTTTTATACGCATAAACAAAGAACATTCTAGTGCGTATTCGAAATTTTAAATCTTTTCTAGAAATTTCAATCGCTTTTTTGAAAATGTTTGAATCATTGTTTTGTGTTAATGAAGATCCTCAATGATAGTTTTTCTCAAATATCTTCCATGTACAGACAGCGATCAATTATACTTTTATTATATGTATAAATTTATTATTATTATACTTTTAGGTAAATAAATAAGTAACTTTTTTTTTTAATTTGGCACAGATATCAACATGTACCTGTAGCGGGCAGCAAAAACCCTGAAGAAACGTACCTGGCACTAGCTTTAGAAGCGGCGTTACTTGGCCTGGGCATGCAGAGGATGTTGCCAAGCGGTCTCTACGCGCAGGAGCGGTATTGTAAACAGGTATATATTCAGAGCCGAAGGGTATTTTAGTTGATGATAGAGGTTAAAGGACAATTAGTTAATTTTTTTGCAAGATTATTTCATTAGAAAAAAATTTGGAATTAATGATAGTTTGTATATAGACTAAGAGAGCGATTTTTTTGAAAATATTGAAGAAACTGGTCGTGTGTACACGCCTTCATGTTCTGATTGTTTTGACAGAAGATTTTTGATACACGCGTAGAAAATATTTGCCTAATTTTTATACTTAACCAAAAAAGTGAATTAATACAGTATGAAATAGAATAGCTTATGAAAATAAATTTTATTTCCTTGTTTATACATTTAAAGTATATCTTATACTTTTTTTGTTCACAAAAAATAATAAATATATATAAATAAATAAAAAATATATATATATATATAATATATATATATATATATATATATATTACATACTAATTCTATTTATACTTTAAGCCAATTAATTTATCACTTTCATGTTTAATAAAAAGAGATAGAAAGAGGTCTGGTTACTCTTTGTCCCTTTCTATCGGGAGGTGACGCCCTCACATTTGGTTGGGTGTGACAGGAGGAGCGCCTGATCAGCCAGCTGCAGCGCGTGGAGTGCGAGGCGGCGGGCGTGTGCGGGCGCGTGGCGCGCGCGCTGCTGGCGGGCGGGCCCTCCTCCTGCCTCGGCACCAAGCTGCACCCGCGCTCCGCGCCCGCCCACACCTTCGCCAGGTTCCTGTTCCTCGCGCTGCTGCCCACCGACCCGGACCTGGCTTATAGAGTCGGCTTGCGGGCTATGAGGTTGGTATTTTTAGGTTTTTTATCTGTATTATAGCTTTAAAACAAAGACTACTTTAAAACAGAATAATAATTTAAATTCGTAATGAATAAACATACAAATGTTCGTACGGTAATGTGAAGAACTGTAAATTACTTTAATTGAGACTGAATTGCTACACGCACGTGGTTAGGTATTCGAGCGCGCACAAGACTTTTGCGTTGTTACGAAATTGGTCAGTAGATTGAAGCAGCTTAAGCCGCAGTAACGCATGTCTGAGTGCAGCTAGTTTAAAAAAAATCATAAATACTAAAATCTAACCTAACGAATTTATTTAATCAATATAAGATTTATTTAACATGTAATAATTGGTCACTCATATGATATATGAGATTGGTTAATTGACTGACATTTTGATTGAAAAACTGATTACTGCAAATTGTAGCTTCATTGATAAATTGCTTCATCTATAGATGGATTGACAAATTAATCGATCAATTATTTATTGATTGACGGCCTGTGTAGGGGACGCGACCTACCACCAAATTCTTGCTAAATTAAATACAGTTTGAGATCGTTGTAAAGTTTATTCATTTAATTATAAGCTTTACTGATAATTGATGCTAATGAATGATGCTAATGAATGATAATGAAAGCAGCCGGTTTGATTGCTGTCCGAACATGCACTGACTTTTTTAGGAGTGTCACTATTTATTTATAACACACCTGCTAAGCATTATTGCTTAGGTGTTAGGTAATAACTTCGGACCGAACAGTCTGATTGATTAATTGAGAGTAAACTAATCCGTCGCACAGACTGCCGATGGTGGAGGAGGCGTACGCGCTGGACGGCAACGCGGCGGCGGGCGGCGCGGGCGCGTGGCACACGCTGCAGCACGCCGAGCAGCAGCAGGCGGCACTCGCCAGTGCATTACTTGGTAACTTGCTATATATATATTACTTAGATTTATGCGAATATTTGACATCTATACTGTATACATATAAATAAAATTGAAGTCTGTTTGTAATGTCAAAATAACAGCGTTTTACTAAATGCATATGAAAGTATATATACGGTATTTATAAGGTTTTATTTCTAATTTTTGTTTGTCTGTTTGTTTATTTCGGCTAATCTCCGAAATGGCTGGACCGATTTTGACGGGACTTTCACTGGCAGATAGTTGAAGTTATAAGGAGTAATTTGGGTTAGTTTTATTTTAGAAACAGAATTAGGGTTCCGCGCAATAATTGAAACCTATGAAATTGTGAATAAATTATACCTAGGGACGTACCCGAGCGAATCGATGGTAAATCATTAGTATATAATTATTTATGACTGATCCTAACATCTGTGATTTTCCTTAAAAATAGTGATGTTAGCCTTAGATCGAGTGTTATATAATAAAAGTTACTAAGGACTGAATTTGAGGAAATTATGATTATACTTATGTATGAATTATATTTCTGAGAAATTTGATAACCTTATACGTAAAAAGTTAAAATAAAGATTCATTCATAGTTTTTAGTTTTAGTGTTTAATTACATAAGCCAGTGTGGCTAAGTCGTGGTGTATGTGTGTGCGCAGGCGCGGCGCGCGGCACGCCGGCGCGGCTGCGCGCGGCGCTGGCGGCGGCGCAGCGGCACGTGCGCTCGGCCGCGCAGCTGTTCCGCCTGGCGCAGGACGCGCTGCGCCACGCCGCGCCGCCCGACGCGCCGCACCACCACCGCGACCTGCTCGCCGCCGCCTTCGAGCTGGGCCTGCAGGTACACACGCACACACACGTTGTACATACACGTACAACACACACACACACTCACGCATACATACAAAAAGCTGGTGACTTATGGGCTAGAAAAGTCAGTATTATGTATTGAAACCTGACGAAATCTTCTACACTTACACATTCAACTACGACACTCGATGGCAGACTTTCTCATATCATTTAAAAAACCTGGGAGTTGCTCTCACGATACACTCTGCTATCAAAGAAGTATCAGGAACAACTCACTTTCCAGTGCATCTCAGCTTCACTGGACATCCGGACGTTACTAACCCCACCCACCACAACGAGGTAAACACATATGAGGGAATAGTTTTATATGCTGGATAGAAACATATCTCTTGTCGTTCCAGGTCCTGCGCATGACCTTGTCCGCGGTAAACTGGCGGAGGCGAGAGATGGTGCGGTGGCTGGTCACGTGCGCGACGGAGCTCGGTCTAGACGCCTTGCTGTCTATAATGCAGAACTGGTTAGTTATTTTTTTTTAATTTTTTATTTATTTATTTATTTTAAGGAAACAAACAATACAATATTACATAAATAATAATAGGATAATAAATAAACATTAAAAATACAAAAGTAAGAAGCAGAACACAATGAAAATAAAAATAAAACAAAAAGTTAAAACTAAACTAAAAAAACTAAAAATTAAAAAAAAAACTAAAATAAAATATATTTTATGTATTAGATTAGTGACATATTCTTTAATGCCTTTAACATTCATATTACTACAGAAGTTTACAGAAAATAAAGGAAGGAAGGAAGTGCTATTTTTGAATATGCGGGGAAAAACCGCAGATAAAAAGTACTAATGATTCCTCTATGATATGATAATATGGTTGCATATGATCTCTTTTAGTGATAAGACCGGTTTTTTTTATTTATATTTCTCTTTCTATGTATTTCTTGTGTTATTTTTTGAGTGCATGTGTAACATGATGTATAAGAGTATCCTAATATAATATATTTTTACAATATGTACGTTTTGACGTTTATTATGGAATAGATAGACTATATGTTAGTATAAATATTAACATAGGTATGGTGAATTTTATATCCCTCACTTTGAAGAGAATTTGAGAAATGATTGATAAAAACTAATCTAAATCGGTTCAGCGGATTAAGCGTAAAAAGGTTACAGACAGACCGAGTTACTTTCGCATTTATAATATTAGTATGGATGAAACCATAAGCAATTAGCAAACGGTCTATTCAATTTAAATATAAACTTGCCGATCTAAATATTCCAGGTACGAACTGTTCACGCCGACGGAGGCGACGGGGCCGGTGGCGGCCGCCGCCATGTCGCACGCCACGGCGCTGCGCCTGGGGCTCAGCTTCGAGCAGCAGGAGAAGCTCAGCGCGTGCGCGCGGACGCTCGCTCTGCAGTGCGCGGCGAAGGACCCGCCGGGCTGCGCGCTGAGCGCGCTGTCGGTGTGCGAGGGCTCGGCGGGCGCGTTCGAGGCGGCGTGCGCGGCGGTGGGCGGCGCGGCGGCGCGCGGCGCGCTCGCCTCCAGCCAGCTGTTCGCGGTGGCGCGCTACATGGAGCAGCGCGGCCAGCCCGCGCGCGCCATGCGCCTCGCCACGCTCGCCATGAGGAACTTGCACTTGCATTATAATCAGGTTTGTTTTGTTTTGAACTGGACGTCTTTAGCCGTTGAGCGATTTTTGGTAGGCGCGAAAGTTATAGGTTCGTGTCCCCGACATGCTACGTGTGACATGTGACGTGTCGACGTAGTCTGAATAATTATTGCTCGAAGTGCTAGTGGATGTGTCAGACTAATAATAATTTCAATTTACAAATTATGAAATTTTAATTATTCATATTAAAATTAATTTAAAAAAAACTGTTAATCCAAAGTTATAAGTTTTCACTTCTGTCGGAAGTCCAAATGACTATTCTATTTGTTTTTGTTTTAAAATAAAACTATAAGGAAAGACACTTCCGTGACCATGATTGTTGTAAAGCATTCGAAACGTCGAAAACCAATAAATCAAAATCCGCGGAAAAATTCGAAATATTCGCGTAAATATATTCGCGTAAATCTAAACATATCTAAGTATTGTTTGTTGTTAGCAGTTGGAACTAGATGGCGTTGGTAGATGTGATGTATGTATGTGATGTGGGTATACGTGCGTGCGTGAAAATAAAAAAAACACCTATCATTTAATTCAGTGTATTTGACATTTGCTTTTTATCTAATCAGTAGGAAATATATTTATACCGTAATAATAACAATAATATTTTTTAAACTAAATATAGTTCCGAGTTTAAAATGCTTTAAGAGTAACCATTATTTTATTTATTTAGGACTATTTTTGATGAATACTTTGTCGACTAAAATACATATATATAAAAATCGATTCTAAGATTAGAAAATATCGATTAAATACACACAACAACATTATTGAAATTGATAAAAAAACATATATTTAATCTATCTCCAGGATAGTCACCCCGCAATCGCAGACATCCACTGGGCGGTGGCGCTCGCGCACTCGCTGGGCAGGGCCGAGCTGCAAGCGATGTTGCCGCTTCTAGTTAAAAACGTGCAATGTGCGCCCGTTTTGGTGAGTGTAAATATATATAATACAAGCGACTCACCCTCGCTTCGCTCGGGTTCGTCTCTAGCTTACTTCCCCATATAAAATTTTATCCCCATTTTCACCACCTTAAGCGATGATTTCCGAATAAAAACTATCCTTTGTCCTTCCTGAGACAAATTTCATTTAAATCGGTTCAGTAGATACAGACCTACAACGTCACAAACTCACAAACTTTACCTTTTTATAATATTAGTAGGTATAGATTAATAGAACAGTACTAATATTTATAATAATTAATGTTATATATAATAATAATTTATATTATTTATGTAATAATATTAAATTAGGAATTCTTTGAATATTTGTTTCTTTATTAAAACAATTGTTCACAAAAATACATTTTTTTAATAACTATTAGAGCCGTTTTTGCTTGCTCTCATGCTGTCAATATCATATAGCGCCGTCTAGTAAATTTTTGTGCTTTTTATATTAATTGTTAAATAGTATATAGTACAGTACTATTTATAAAATCCCATACAGTAGGCGATTGTCCATTGATCTGTCAAGTCTCGCCTCGAGGTTGGCCTCGCTCGATCCATGACTTCATGTATGAGTAGACTGTGCTTTCCTAGATTTAAAGTTCAATTCCAACACCTTAAGGTTGTCTGGAAGAGATCGCTGTATTAGCAATAAGGCCGCCACTTGTACATAGTTCTATTTCTTGTTGTACTATTTTTTCTTACTTTTGTGGGTGTACAATAAATAGGTACGTAAATATTTATTATTATTATTATGATAAAATGAATAATAAAGCATCCCTTGCCCGGGCGGCAGTCGGACGTGCTGCGGCGCTGCTGCGTGGCGGCGGCGGGGTGCTCGCGCGCGCGGCCGCCGCCGCCGCGGCCGCCCACGCCGCTGCGGCCGCTGCTGGAGGCCGCGCTGCGCGCCTACGCCTCCACCACGCACGCGCGCCTCGCGCACATCTCGCCCAGGCACTACGCGGACTTCGTGGATTTTCTTGGTGAGACATAATTTTATTCATATATTGGCGACTACTAGGTACATTTTAATTTTTTTGAGCGGAACCCTAATTAAAATAATTAGGATTCCGCTCCAAAACACAATCAAAACTGAAATAAAAGTAGCCTAAGTTACTCCTTTTAACATCAACTACCTGCCATTGAAAGACCCGTCATAATCGACCTAGCCGTTTCGGAGATTAGCTGGTACAAACAGACAAACAAAATTTTTAAAATTGTGTTTTTCGTATAAGTACCGTATGTTATACCATGCAATTAGTAAAAAACTGTTATTTTGTACAGATTTAAGGTATACACAATACTTTGTTACATTTTAGGTTTGCGTGAATTTTTGACATATTTTTATTGTTTTGCGGATTTATTTTGGTTTTTTTAATTCCGGAAAAAATTTAGTTTTATTTAAAATATTTACGGTATATAAACACTTTATATTGATATTGAAATAATAACTGAAATGCGTTGCTCTCAAAAAAAATTATATATATTTGTTAAGCCAAATACCCTTCATTCATTATTATGATTTTGAGATTTTAAATTCATTATTATGATTTTTGAGTCGTCTTTCCTATTACATGCTCATATCTCAACATTCTGAATATTTAATAATTAATTATCATCATAGTACAAATTTATCTTATTAAAAATTCCCACAGGTAAAGCCCGAGACACATTCGCGCTAGCACACGACGGGCCGCACCAGTTCGCTGCGCTTCTGCAAGAAATAAAATTAAAATATAAAGGCAAAAAGAAACTAATGTTCCTTGTCAAAGAGAGGTTTGGATGAGAACTTTATAAATATTTATTCGTTGAAACATAAATACTAATATGGCCATGTTTGTTATTTTTTTTTTAAATCGCGTCACTTAAATTGTGCAATAGATGGCCAAGTATCGTATATTTTTATAAATCCATTCGTATAAAAGACATTTATCATATTTGTAATGTAAGGTTATAATAAATCACGGCTACACATCATTACCTCATGTTAGCGCGATGGCGTGCGTGTACTCATTTTGTACCAAACCAGTCTTTTCTAAAGTATTATTTTTATGTAACCTAGTATATTACCTCCTAGTTCGCGTAATTAGACGTTGTATGATCTCAATGATTCCATTGTGTAAATTGATTAGTCTGTACATATTAATATAAGTCTAGAATAGTTCGTTGGAAATGTTAGATATATTTTAAATAGGCGAATTTTCGAGCGCTGCCAACTGTAAATGAACATCATTGGAGCGCTCGAGTGGAAGTTAAATGTAAACGCCGTATATAGCGTCCAATAGCAGTGGAATCTTAAATAAAGGCTATCGCACAAGGTCGACTTTTTAGCGTATAGTTGCGGATTTGTTATACTTATATCTGGCTGCCTTTTTATTTCATAGGCTGATAAATATACTTATTCCTATATAAATATTATCAAAGGAATGAAATGATGGATAAATAGGTCTCCAATGTGCGATAACTCTAAATGACACCACACCAAAGAAATATTATATAAGCGATTCCAGCTTGGAATAAGCGATGCCATCTTTCCTTCAGTATTCTTGAGTATTCGTATATGTATGTAGGTGTTCGTTTAAACGTTAAGTCCACTTCATTTCTGTTTATTGTTTCTGTTACGGCCATTTTGTTTCGTTTTCTCTTGGTTGCACCACAGTTTCTTTTTGTATCATACTTTTTTCTATTTCTATGTTAGAGTAGATGTAAAGATTTAACAAGAAGTGCATTTATAAAGGTAGAAATGTAATATTTAATAGACGTGACATTGCATAGTGTTCAGAAATTAGGATCAATTGATTATGATAGTGATTAAGGTACGAGGGACTTTTGTACTTTTTGTGGTGTGTCGGGTTGAGCAAATATTATTTTTTACATCGCAACTGGAATTTCTCGATAATGTAAATTTTTTTTTCAACTTTAATAACATATCCCAATAGCATATACTGAATGTTGCCAACCCTGTCATGTGTCAAAGTCGAAGAAAGTGTAAAAAGCAACATTTTTTATTTTTGTAACCACTGACTTTGTTTTTCAATTTATTTATTTTATACATAAAATAACAGCATGACAGATTTTTATCGGCTAATTTTGTATCACTTTAGTAACGAGACCAATCGATTCTATATCGATTAAAATGACTAGTCGCTATTTTTGTATCCGCCTGACTTTAAGACAATTAGCTGATTAAAAATCTGTAGGTAATGGCTGTGGGCACGCAAAATAATATTAACATGACAATTTTCTTTATACATGTTTAGCAATTGGATTTTAATTAAACATTGAAAATTTTCTTTGAATATTTGATCCTTTTATATTTCTATCCAAACGCTGATACTGTCATGTCAACCATGTATTTATTATAAAACATGTACCTAATAGTTTTGCTTCTTATTAACAATGCAGACTGAAATTATTATTTTGTTTATCAAACGATTTCGTATTAATTGTAATTTAAGTTGACAAATTGTGTTCGAGTACCTCAGAATCTTATATAGATCTCTGGTCTTTAAATGATACATTTATTTTACCTTTATATAAAACTTTTTAACATCTAAAGAGAAAACAAGCCAAATTGTCAACTTATTTTTACAAAATGTTTACATACAGCATTTTACATTATATAAAGAACACCTTAAAATTCAATAAGCAATAATTTTGTAGCCTTTAGCCGGTCTGTTTTTTTTTTCTTTGTAAGCATGTAAGTTACAAGATCAATTTAAATATGATTATTTGGTATTGAAATGTCATAGTGACATCTTACATGTATGATGTACGAGTAAGTTTAGTCTTTTATTAAAATAATAAAAGTTAATTATTATAAAACATACAACAAAAACTATATAAATTATTTATATAATGCCTGGTGTTATTATACTAATGGTATAGAGACTGGTTAAATTACTAATTCATATTTAATCGATTTTGTAAATTACTTTTAATAGTAACGATTACTCTCGCCTGCAATAATTTACTGTATTTGATGACTTGCCAAATTGCAAATCCAAGCAAATGATATGACCGCAAGTGCCTTCAGGCAAGTCCTTTATTCCAGACCGGCTCTTTATATGTACACTTTTGTTTTTGATCTATTTTTACTGCACTAAATGTCGATTAATTTGAAATTGTGTTTTACGTATAACGTAGACACCCTTCAGTGTTGACTAAGGTGATAATTTCAATAAAAACTATTAAAAATTAATTGTCTTTATATTCCTTATTCCCAGATGTTATAATTAGAAAATATATTATGTATATTGTATTAAAATAAATAAAAAAATAAAAAAGATATAGGCAGTTGATTGAAATTATGAAAAAAAATCTTAATTAAGTATAGTTAATATGCCATCAGTTAGATATTTTTGAACAAGTTAAAAACAAAATAAAGAAATGTAAAGTGTTTTATATATTTTCGAGTTGTGTAACTCGATGTATTATAAAATAAATCGATTATAATAAAGATGATATCTACCATGAATAATATACATCTCTATCTGTCGATTGTCATTGTCAGCTGGCATTTGTTGTGCTTAAAAAAAACATAATACGAGTTAAAATACACATTGCACCCTGTTTTTATTTATATTTGCTACAAAAATAATATGCTATCTCAGGTAGGTAACAATTTATTTAAACACTAATTTATTCAAACTATATACTTTGTTCTACCCTTACATTATTTATATGTCAATAATCTGAGGTACTACCATGGAATAAACAACTTTAAAATTTAAGTCTTTATTATATATGTTTTTATCATATTACGTCGATTACATAGTGCCTCTCTGATCTCCAAATTTATTTTCAAAGTTACTTTTTTCATACCATACTTACTGTTGTTGATTTTTTCTACTATGGAAAATATTTGTAATAGGCAAACATTTTATTACTATTCACTTTTCTCATAAGGGAAGCTAGATAACATAATATCTCCAAAACATTATAATATTAACATTATTATAGTGTGACAGATACAGCGGAGCTGGATATCCTCACCGTTGGGAAGCAATCTTTTGTTGGTTTTGTTCAAAAATAACAATGCAAATAACAATTGTGTGCAGGTATTACATCACATTACATTTGTTGTGTAATTTACATAAACATATTAATTTTTACTTGTAATAAACAAGTTTTTTCAATAACTTTAATAAAGTAACATATTAGTCATATATTTAAATGAAATCTTTGTTTTATTTCAGTTGGAAACTCTCTTGATAAATAAAAAGGAGTTTAATAGCAAATCCGAGGTTTACTATTCCAATATAAATGATGTAAAAAATAAATTGCATCTACCGGAAAATGTAACGATATTAAGTTTAAGGAATTTCAAGGAAGATATCAAAGAAGTTTTATGGGTACCAGCTATTAGTTTATTGCTTGGAGCTAATGCAACATGTTGTATTGTTAATTTGTAAAATTTTAATCTATTGAATTGGGGGCCGTTCAAATATTACGTAAGCAGATTTATTACAATCATTTACCCCCCCATCCCCCTTGTCAGCAAAAGTAAGCAAAGCTCTTACCCCCTCCTCCCATGCTTACGTAAACATTTTTCAATTATAAATGTATTTTTTTTATATTGTAATTATAATGTTATAATTATAATTTTAAAAATAAGAAAATAGATTTAGGATAAAGATTACATTTTACTGATACAGTATTCAACATAGAGTAAGGGACAAAAATATTATAACAATAACAATACACTAACGGAGAAAATTTAGACAAGTGAATAGCGCGCGGTAATTCCCCTAATCGGTTCTAAAGCGAGTGCCTAAACGTATGCATTATTTGCGGGAATTTTTAAAAATGCGTTTCGTTTTCAAGTATAGACAATGTGAGGGTTGCCATTTGTGTAAAAAAGTAAATAACTACCGATGACGTAATCATCATCTAGACTCCCCTACCCCCCAGGCCATCCAAAATAAGCAAAACAAAGACCCCTCCACCCCCCCATAGTGCTTACGTAATACTTGAACGGCCCTTTGAGTAATTTCTCATTTTTTTCTATTTCTAGGTGAGATAATAATTTCTTAAACTATGTAACCAATAATATTCCTAAAAAGTACTTATTCATATAACAATTTTAGGATAAATGGAATAAACATGGCATCTGTGATGGTGCTCTTATGAAAGTATACAATTCATTTAAATACACTGAAGATATAAAATATTGAACAATATTTATATTACCTATATAGATTTTTATAAATGACAAGCGAATCACCATCGCTTTGCTCAAGTTAACCCCTAGTGAAAAACAAAAACAAATCTATCCCATGGGAGCTGTACATTTTTCCGGGATAAAAAGTTAAAAAGTAACTTATGTGCTATTCCAGACTATAATCTATCTCTGTGCCAAATTTCATTCAGATCCGTTTATAAGTTATAATAAATTCCTAAAAAATATCTAAAATTGAGTAACTTCATTTTAAAACCACTTCAAAAATAAATCTTGTTTTAGCTTTTAGAACTGCCAATAAGAGATAATGATTTCAAACTAATGATAATTGTACCAAATGAAGTAGATGTCATGAAATTGATACTAGAAGGATTTTCTGCTGCAACTGCCAGTATACAGCCTTTTTTCACATATATAAGCACTTTAAATGCACCTTGTATTAAATTTGATTCTCTGTTGGAAGAAACACAAGTAAGTCATCATGTTTTGTCAACTTCAAGAAGCAAAAAAAATATTTAATGTATAATTGTTAGCAATCAGATTTCTTGTTTCTTAATTTTTATTTTATTTTATGTAACTCTTTTAAACAGTTTTTTTTTAACTATTTCAGTTTTTCCATCGTTAAGTTAGTGTTTTTTTTATTTTTTGTTTGCCTATATTTTTTTTAATTTAAAAAGTGCATAACATGCGATGATTATAACATGTAATTCTTAGTGTAATTATACCCTCGCTTCGCTCGGGTTCGTTCCTGGGTTGATTTCCCATACAAACTTTCATTCCCATTTTCACCCCCTTAAGGGATGACTTCCTGGATAAAAACTCCTATGTCTTTTCCAGGGTCTTAAACTATCTTGTTGCCAAATTTCATCTAAATCGGTTCAGTAGTTTCGAAGCCTGTTCGGTACAAACAAACAAATACAAAAAAAAACAAAGTAAGTACGTAAAAAAACACCTCTTTATAATATAGAATAATACTATAGAAGAAGATTATGTGCATAATATTAATGTGTAGGTACTTGTTTTAGAAAATTGACAGTGACGTTACAATAACGAAAGCTGAAGTAGGAAGCGTAGAAATTGATAATATCGGTGTTTCAATAAATGTATTCACATGTAAGTACTTCTATCTTTTATACCAGATATTTCTTATCTATTTTTAATATTAAACTACTTTTTGGCCGCGGCTTTACTCGCGTGGTACTTATGCCCCCCAAGAAGTAAAACCGATTTATTAAAAATAGAATTATTAATAAATCATAATTGCGGAATAAGTATATCATGCACCTATTACTACACCCAAAACAAACAATCGAATTGAAAACCTCCTTTATGAAGTCGGTCAAAAAGTACTTAATTCATATTGAAAAAGTAGCTCTTCGACTCAAACACACAACTTTGCACTAAATTATTACATACAAGCTACGATTAACATTGTTTATATTATAGGACTCTAAAAATTACATTTCTCTTATGAAATCATAAATATTTTAATACCTATACGTTTTTTTTTTCAGGTATATTTCTTACGAGTATCCAAACTCAAGTTACGAAGAAATTTAAAAAAATATCGGAATATCCATTTTACTTTAGCCTTGTTTTCAAGGATACGTCCATATTTAACGGTAAATATATTGATGTGAAAAAACCTAATTAAAAAAAACGAATAAAAGATCGTATTTTAAATGTATTTTTTTTTAATTATGACGACATGTAATCTTTATTAGCATTATCAATATCTTGGCAGTTACGTGTAGGTACGAGTTTTCCGACAAAAGTCATCTGTTTACCGCCAAAAGACGTGTCACAAAATGGTTTTTTTGAAATATATTTTTTCTCAGAATCTTGAGCATCGTCAATTTCATTCAATAGCTTTGGTTTTTCATCTACTTTCTTATCATCGTAAAGTTCATCGTATCCTAAAATTATTGGTGGTAATATTATCAAACCGGCTTGACGGTGTTGTTCTTCTGCCATCTATACAGATAAATAAAATTGAAGTGTCTGTTTGTAATGTCAAAATAACAGCATTTTACTAAATGCATATGAAATTATACACGGTACTTATAAGAAAAACAATTTTCTAAATTTTGTCTGTCTGTCTGTTCGTTCCGGATAATGTCTAAAACGGCTGGACAGATTTTGACGGGGCTTTCACTGGCAGATAACTGATGTTATAAGGAGTAACTTAGGCTACTTTTATTTTAGAAAAAGAATTAGGGTTCAAAAAAAAATTAAGAAATTGTAAACAAAATCCGCGTACCTAGGGACGTACTCAGGGAGGGTAAGTCGCTAGTCTTTAATATAACATTAAAATAATTATAATAGCTCTCACGCTATTAGGATAAAAAAAACGAAAAATCTGATTTGTACGAGAGTACTTTGGCCTTTGGAGAGGCGACATTGGCAGGGGTTATTCTGTTTAGCCACTATAACATTGCCAACCTAGGTTTTACGAGTTACCAAGAAAGTATGTTTGGAAAGATGTACCCCATCTTCAAAATTAGAAATTATATGTTATTAATTTATTGGCGGACTCTGTGTACATAATTCTTTAGTCCCTTCCTCTTTAACACCTCCAGGTAAATTTCTAAGAAATTAATTAAAATTCTAAGAAATCTATTGTTAACTGATACGCCGGCGTGTCCGCGGTCGTGGAGGGATTAATTAATTTAATTGTATATTTCTTTTGAAATCAAAGAATTAAATAATGATAGACATAAAATTTACTTACACAAATACAAGTAAGCGTTAGAGTTAAACAAAATATTAAAAACATTGCCAAATAGTAATATAAAATGTTAGGTATATTGATAAAATTTTATCGATATTGATTCAAGTAATATAAGTATATTCACAACAAATATATTGAATTCTGGAAATAACATGTTTTCCTAATACTTTCTTAGATTTACGCGAATGTTTGACATTTTTAAATAAAACTATCTTTTCGGATTATTTCGTGGATTTATTTTGATTTTTAGTTCCCGACGTTTCGAATGCTTTACAGCATCCATGGTCACGGGAGAGACTGAGGTATTACATGTCTTGAAGGTATAGTTGTTACAGACAGCCTACCCACAATTAACAAAATGCAAATTACACCAATTACATTACAATATTTTTTTAACTTTAAACATTTTTATAATTACTTTAAACATTTTTAAAATTAAAAAACTGTAAAGACATCTCACAACACACACCACCTCAGTCTCTTCCGTGATCATGTATGCTGTAAAGCATTCGAAACGTCGGGAACCAAAAATCAAAATAAATCCGCGAAATAATCCGAAAAGATAGTTTTATTTAAAAACATGTTTTCCTATTAAGTATAATACGTCTTTACATGTTATCGTAATATAGGATAAACAATTAAATACAAAGAAAACGCTTCATTCTTCACCATTTTCAAAAGTTTTAGGGGTCCATTAACATATCCACTTAGGGACACAAAGCTATATCTACATATTAAACAGAACTGTTATGGGAGCTTTGTAACGAAACCCATCGGATATGCGAATTGATTTCAAATCAAATAATTACGGATAGGGGTGGAGTTTAAATTTTTATTTAAGTATAGCAAATAAGGTAAACTAATGATAAACAAAATTATTATGATATTAAATTCGCGGGATTCAAACTTCATCTGGTTCCAGTACAGGTGTTTCTACATTTTCTTCTGTTTGCTCTGAGCTTTCTTCATCTCTATCTTCAAATGTAGCTCCTGCTGCTCTCAATAAAGACATTAGTGTTGCTAATGAATTTGCCAACTGTAAAATAATAATATAGTTACTTTTAAATTAACGATTCTAATTATACCAAACTAAAAAACTACCTCCATCAATCTACCTCTAGTACATAAATGAAATTACGTCAAGAGTCTATAATATTTAGGATATATAAGATATGGCGGTTTCACAATTTGATATGCACATAACTATGTGGTGGGATATGATTCGTTAAAGTTGAGTTTTGAAATTCGTACTTACAGCTTACCTACGTTCAAACTTAAATTAAGTTTGAACCTTTCTAAACTTAATGACTAACATTTAAGATATCTTGGAATTTTGACGTGTACACGAATTCCATCGCCTTTTTAATAAAAAAATAAATTTACCTTCCGTAAAAACAACTGCTATACAAATATATAAACAATTTCGAAATACACCTTTTATCCAACAGACACTCTACTAAAGGTCCAGCTTAAAATACCTCATTAGGTATAGACAAAAATTGCCCCAACAAACTCAATACTAAATACCTGAGCATCCTTCTCCCGTTCCAGTATCACAGCAACAACCCTCGTCTCCTGTACAGCATCAGCCAGTCTCCCAGCACGCGCGTGTCTCCCCGCCAGGTTGAGTCTGACGAGCGGGTCCCGCGCCGCGAGGGCGGTGGCTCGCCTGTATGCCGCGTCCGCTCTGCTGTCGCCCAGACGTTCTAGGGCTATTGCTATTAAAAGTACCTGAGGATATGGTCTACTTATGATGTTTATTTAATACGTTACGGTACGTTTTAAATTTTTTTGAGCGGAACCCTAATTCTTTTTCTAAAATAAAAGTAGCCTATGTTACTCCCTATAACATCAGCTATCTTCCAGTGAAAGTCCCGTCAAAATCAGTCCACCCGTTTCAGAGATTATCCGGAACCAACAGACAGACAGACAAAATTTAGAAAATTGTGTTTTTCTTATAAGTACCGTAAATAATTTCATATGCATTTAGTAAAACGCTGTTATTTTGACATTACAAACAAACACTTCAATTTTATTTATCTTTCGTTTCGTTAGTGCGTTTATAGGCGCCTAACAATAGCTGATAAAGTAACTCAACGGCAATTTGTTTTAATAACTATTATATAGCTTCCTATTAGTGAAAAAAAGTTTCGGAATGAGTTCAGTAGTTTCAAAGGTTACCCCCTACATACAAACATTACTTCTTTATAATATAAGTGTAGCAGTGTAGACTAGGGATGATCCCATGAAGCGGCAGGTATAAAATATTGACATTTCTGATTTTAGTAATACTAATAATTATGTTATAGCTATGAAGACAGACAAACACACACACAAGGACACCCACACATGAAATAAAACAAACAAACAAATCTTACAGTATGCGCCTGCGTAGGCTGCAAGGCGGCGGCGCAGGCGAGCCGGCAGAAAGCCGAGGCGGGGCGCTTGCACAGCAGTAGCGCCAGGCCGAGGTTGTGCGCCGCGCGGCCGCTGAGCGGCGCCGCCCACGTCGCGCGTTGTAGACATGTTAGAGCCTGTTAAAATGTTAGTGGGTACAGATACAAAAAAAAACACAAATAATTTCAAATAAAATATCTAATTACTAATTCTAAAAACTGGATACTATAACGAAAGAAACATGAGGACATTCGAAAACATTTTAAAGTTTTGCTTTTGTATTATGTTTCATACAAAATATTTATTTTGCGTAGGACAACCTTACTTCGTATCGGTAAACTTGTTTACCGATTAGAAAATATATACATATACCATTTACATATATACGTAAAAATTTACAAATACAAAATTCATTAAACTCACAGCAATAAACTTCTTTTTGGATAGCAAGGCGAGACCTAAGTTAGAATGTGCGGCAACACAAGTGGGATGAGCGCTTAAAGCAGCTTTAAGCCGCGCTAACGCTGCATCTACATCTTTGTGCTGCAGCATCATGGCGGCTAGAGCCAGCGCTGCAGGGTGCTGAGTGGGTTGCTGAGATAATGCTTCCCCAAGTAACTGAAAGGCCCTACGAGGGTCCCCAGCTCGGAGGCATAGAGTACCTGCTGCAGCTAATGTATCTGCGCCGCAGGAATGTGTACTGTAATATAGAAGTTTCATAGTTTATGTTTAATCCAAATTTAAGCTTTTAAACATAAAAATAAGGTTTATTTAAGATTTCTCAAAAAATTACAAAGATTTTGTATTTTAATGTTGTTAAGCTGTACGATCCTGTGTGACATCATCGCACTTAAATTGATTGCCATTTAAATAAACATTTTTTTAGTAAATAGTCGACTTAAAATTTAAACGTTTTTGTTTTTTTATGCTATCTTAAAAAAATCTACCAATGTTTTAGCTATGACCTTAATTTTAGTGTACTATAAAAATATTTTACTTTCTGACTTATATTTTTTTTTATAAAGATTGTCTATAATAAGTCGAAAGAAATTATACTCACGATAAAGCCTGATCATAAGCAGCCAGCGCGCCAGCTACATCTCCACTAGCAAGCAGCAACTTAGCTAGCAAGGCAGCGGCGCGTTCTCCACCCCCTGGTAGCGCTGCCCTCGCCCACTCCACACCCCCTGATCCGAGGGTGAATGCGCATTCCGCTATAAGCAGAAAATTCGTAGGCAAAGGGGGAAGTATCTTATTGCAATGACTCCAGCACCCACGAAAAAATAATAACACATTTCCTCCATACACCTGAGACAGATCTCATGTCTACGGAGGAAATATTACTAGGTAACTAGGCCGTCGGTGAAAGCTGTAAAAATCTGTTAGTTTCTATTTCATAGTTAATAGATTTTGGACACATACAGGCATTATTGAGAAGTATAAATGAAGAACGCCTTTACCTAAAGCGCAATAGATCTCAGCGTCAGGATGTTTTGACAACTTATCAGCTTCCAAATATGCTTCATATGCCAATTGAAAGCGTCCTTGACGGTATCTGCAGCAATGTAGAAATGAATTTACCTATTTTAAATACACAGTTTGATTTTAACTTTTCTAATTTGGGCAATTATGTAATTGTATTCAGTCACGTCTATATTACGTTTATGAATTCAATACGATTAATTAGTTGGTTTTTACCTACTTTACCATTATAATTAGGAATGGATTCATTATTTTTCTAATTTAAATAAGATTTAATAATTTCGACGTACAGCTTATATTATTAAGCATCATAAATGCAGTGATGCAAAAAGAATATATTGAATTAAAAAAAATACTAAAATAATTTTGTTATAAACTATACACACAAATTTTCAAGAGTCAAGAGGAATGAGAACATTCTATCTTATCAGTTATCCTTTCTGATTCCTGATCGACTTCAACAGAAGAGGAAGTGTCTACTTATTTCTTTCGAATATATACATAGTACGTATTTTTGTGGGTATATTACATTTATCGCCATTTGTGAAGTTTTGTGAAGTGATTCCATATAAAAAAACAGAAAAGCCTGAGATTTTTATATTTAAAAAGTAATTATTGTGGTATGCAATTTTCTTTAAAACAAAATCAAACTTTAATAAATACTGACAAGCATTTAGCAACTTGTTTTAACGGTTCAGGGTCTTGTGGTTGCAACCTGATGCAGCTATGAAACTTATCCACAGCTTCCTGAAGTCTTCCGGAGTCAGCCAAGACTGCTCCCTGAAAAAAAAACAAATAAATACACTATTATTACAAAAACATTTTTTGTATGTATGTCCGTGTGTGTATGTTAAATATCTGTTATTCTTTCAATTTAAAACGACTGGGTCCAGAGTAGCTATCTGAATTCATATTATTAATTCAAAAAGTTCGGAATTACAATCAATTTAATTGCGCTCAACACATTCTTATAATTAACAATTATTATACGTATAAACAACACATTATATGTATAAAGTTGTAAACTTAGTTTTTTATTTTATTGCCAGATTTATTGAGAAAAACAGACTATATTGATTTTTCTATTTTTTTATAGATTATTAAAAATTAAATTAGATTAATTTATTACCTTTATAAAATAAGCATATCTATGCGTATTATTCGTTTGCTTTTGCAAGTCCTCTGCAAGTTCCAGGCACATAGCATGTTCCCCTCGGACATACCGTGTATGTAATAGCCAATTTCGTGAACTATTTTTAATTTCTAAAAATTAATTGCTTATCGTTAAAATATATGAAACTCTGATTATCTAATTATAATGGCCGGATAATTATTATTTACAATTAAAGTAATATTTATATTGAAATAATACTCATTAAATTTAAAGAAATAATACTTAATTAAATAAATGATAAAAACATATAATTTAGATATTAAATAAAAAGATAAAATAAACTTTTTAGGTGTTATCAATTTTAATATATACTACCATCATCAGCTATTTTTTCGAGGGCTGAATGTTTTCGCATTACGATTGTTTTATGTTTTTATTTAATATAGTTTACGTTGATGTTACCATGGATACACCTGTAATTAAACTTAGTATTAAATATATTTTAATGAAATGTAAAAAAACACCTATTAGACTATTTTATCAGTTAACTTTAAAAAATAAAGTTGTTTAAGTATTGTCTTACATTTGTTTACATTATTAAAGCAAATGCGTATTATTAAATTACGTAAAATTAAAATCAGAAATTTATAAACCGCAGTTCTGATTTCCGAACGACGTAAATGACAAATGACAATAATATATGTTGAAAAATCAAAATTGACAAGTACGTAATCAATATGACATAACTTATCAGATATATCAGTGTATTAATAAATAAATATTTCCTAAATTCCTCTTCTTTACATTCCAAATCATTAAAAAAATATTGAAACTGCAAAATGGAAGACATGGCACGATTAGCTTTAGTGGAGCACAAAGTAAGAGACTCCGATACGTTCTACGAAATGCTACAAGAACTTCTCCAATTCATCAATCAAATTTTAGATAATCCTCACGAAAATGAACTGAGAACAATTAAAAGTCCAATACTTAGAATGTGCTATACCTGTGAGGCATTCACAGATTATCTTAAATATATTGGTCTAGAAATGGTAGGTTTTGTGTTAATTTTTACTTTCAATCTAATTTGATATTTTAGAAAAAATATTTTTAACGTATGTGTTCTTTTATATTATATTATGTTCTGTCTTAAGTTTATTTTAAAATTTCAGGTGCAAAATGAATACATATATCCCAAAGAGCAAACTTTAAGTAGACTTAGGATATCACAAGCATGTATAGAAAGAAAAATAAGCCTTTGCTGTGGACCGATTAAGCGTATTAGAAATTTACCTTTGGCTGGTAAACACTCACAAAGAAAAAGACTACAATTAACTCCATCTTTCATACAGGTAGATTTTAATCTTACTTTGATCAAATATATTTTACCTATTCCAATCATTGTGAAAAATAGTATCTATCTTGATAAATTATTATTATATGTTATATAAGAAAATGTTATGATAATTCAACAAAAATAATTTTTTTTTTATTTTTACAAAGTATACAGCCATTAAAGACCATACATTTACTGTTTGACTTATTCTTTAATATAATATTGTATGTATATCTAATAATATCCTCATAAATTTTTAAACATATCTCAAACTATCATTATTACGGTGAACCTCACATTTGGCTATTATTTACCTTGAATTACAACAGAAAAATTGTTACACATCCCAGATTTTTGAACATTAATGGGTTGTAGTTGCAACCTAACCAAAAAGAGTTTGGGTCTATTTTATAAATTGGTTGGAGAATGAAACATTAAATTTTTAACAGCTTCTCTGAAGATTACCGTCGATGCCAGATTTTCTTAACAACGACCCTATTGCCTTTAACATAAGGTACTTTATGTTTTATTATATCGAGCCATACACTCAATCAATCATACTACTCAAATATAACTGTGTCAGTTACTATGTCAACTTCATTTTAAAATTAATGTAACTTTAAAATATATTATTACTTCTCAATAGATAAAACTTAAACCAATACTGATTGAAATGCGAACAAAATTCAATGATATGCTAAAATATGAAGACGATGATCTTCTACAGTTGGCAAGAGAGCAAATCCCTCTTGTCTCTTTACAATCAAGGGCTATAGAAAGAATAAGAGAACAGCAAAAGAAAATAAAAACAGGTATTCTTCTTTCAGTTTTATCATCTATCTTTGAACATTTTCATTCATATCCATACTAATATTATAAATGTGAAAGTTTGTGAGGATGGATCTATGAATGGACGTTTGTTACTCTTTCTCTCCAGAACAGCTGAACTGATTCAGATGAAACTTGGCACAGAGATAGATTATAATCTGGAATAGCACATAGGTAGCTTTTTATTCCGGAAAATGTATGGTTACCAAAGGATACATTTGTTTTTGTCTAGTACCTAATATAATTATTACCAAGACTAAAAATAGGACAGATATGCAATTTTAAAGTCTAAAGTCCATACTCCACTTGAATTAAGACTTTAAAGATGATAATTTCGTTAAACAGGTGAATCCAAAGATCCTGACATGACCTTTGACTTGGCTCTCCTAATGGAGTTAATAGGGTGGTTCAAGTATAAATACTTCTCATGGGTAGACAAACCCCCCTGCGACTACTGCGGTGGACCCACACAGTTCATATGTTCATCACCTATGCAAGGGGAGACTGAGTCATGTAGCTTAGAGGTACGTCACAATTCCTTATAAATATATACAGATAAATAAAATTGAAGTGTCTGTTTGTAATGTCAAAATAACAGCTTTACTAAATGCATATACAATTATATATACAGTACTTTTAAGAAAAACACAGTTTTTAAATTATTTGTCATCCTGTCTGTCCGTTTCTCTCTGAAAATGTTGGACTGATTTTGACGGAACTTATACTGGCAAATAGCTGATATATAAGGAGTAACTTAAGCTACTTTTATTTTAGAAAAAGAATGAGGATTCCACTCAAAAAAATATTACATCATATCCAACATTTGGCACGGGTACTTGAAATCAATTTCCTAAAAAAACATACCTTTTAAAAATAGTAACAAGTAGCTTTTTTATTTTGTATGATCAAGGCTCTGAGAAATAATTATTATTTACATTTTGACATAGGTTTTTAAATAAAACTATCTTTTCGGATTTTGTCGCAGATTTATTTGCATTTTTGTTTCCCGACGTTTCGAATGCTTTACAGCATTCATGGTCACGGGAGACAGGGGAGACAGGCATTCATGGTAACAACTATACCTTCGAGACATGTAACACCTCAGTCTCTCCCGTGACCATGAATGCTGTAAAGCATTCGAAACGTCGGGAAACAAAAATGCAAATAAATCCGCGACAAAATCCGAAAAGATAGTTTTATTAAAATGTCAAATATTCGCGTAAATCTAAGAAAGTATTATTTTGATATAGTTTGTTTATTAATCAAAAATATGACGCTGCGCATTGCCTGTCTGCGCCAGACTGCGTCATATGTCACACGTAGCATGTACATTAGTACATGCTACTTGTGACATATGACGCGAACCCATAAGTTTTGCTCTTACTAAAAATCGCTCAACGCGGCTAAAGAAGTTTTCATTTCAATGAAAACCTCCAAATTACAGATATACAAATGCATGAAATGCACAAAAGGAGCACATTTTCCACGGTACAACGATCCGGCGACGCTCCTGCGCACGCGTCGCGGCCGGTGCGGCGAGTGGGCCAACTGCTTCACGCTGTTCTGCCGTGCGCTGGGCTACGATACACGCTTTGTGTATGACGACAAGGATCATGTGTGGTGTGAGGTGTGTTCTTTATTGAGTTTATTCAGCTTATTTGGTTTATTCTATTTGATTTTGTGTGATGAGCATGACCATGTGTTTGATTCATTTAATTATTCAGTTGAGTGTTATCTATAAAGTTTTTTAAAATGATATGTAGTCATATACATATAAGATATTTAATAATATTTTTAAATAATAGCAAGACATTGTAATTGTACATGTTTAATTGGAACTGCCTATTACATGTGAGATTGCTAATCTAAACAAACTTGTCAATAGCTCAAAATTTTTACTGATAATAAGGTATAAATGTACAATTTTGCATTATTCCAGGTATTCGACTATGATACCAAAACCTGGCTACACGTAGACCCCTGCGAGGCGACCATCAACACTCCCCTTATGTATTGCCACGGCTGGGGGAAGACTCTTAGTTATGTCTTTGCCTTCTCTAGGGACGACGTGCAGGATGTCACCTGGAGATACACCGTTGACCATAAAGAGGTAATGTATTTTATTTGCAGGGCTGCCAGATCGTATATTTGGATACGAAAATTGTATAATATGGTTATCTTATGTATGTTTCACTTTAAGTTATTACATATTTTTATTCGTCAGAGACTATTTCTCTACAGTTTTGTTAGTTTGTATAATAAGATTTGATTTGGTATAATTCCAGTGTCCTAGCGGTATAAAATAAGTAGGATCTACTGGCAGCATTGTCTATTTGTTTTAATTTATATGTATTATATGTTATCTGTGTACAAGCGAGTTAGTTTTTTAAGTTTGTCCTTTTGAAGTCAGTGTATTTTTAATTCAGCCAAACACATATTTTATATACACAGTGTTTACCACTTTAGAAACACATAACTTGGCAACAGTTATGAACAATACAAGTCAATGTTTGAACAAAAACTTGAAGGAACTATTCAGTGATACACAACAACAAAATCTGTACATGAAATATTTTTAAAAATAATGACTTAAAAAAAATCAAGACCTAAAGTTTTAATACTTTAGCAGGCAGCACATATATAAGGAACAAAAAATCCGTCCGAGAATTGGGGGCGTGTAAAACGCTGCTTGCTGTAATATCTGATCGAACAATATGCTTTACAAAAGTCGTAGGTCTAGTAAAAATCTACGACTTTTACAATAACCACAAAGTTTTCGACATATTTCCAAAAAAAAAAACGATTTTTAATTTTTTCTTGTTTTTTTCTTTATTTTTAATTTCTGCAATAATTTTTAATTTTTTAAGAATCTAGGGGAATATAATCTTCGAAATACATATAAGAAACGGGTTTTTCGGAAATATGTCGAAAACTTTGAAGTTATTATAAAAGTCGTAGATGTTTATTAGACCTACAACTTTGTAGATAATATATTTTTCGATAGGATGTTACAGCTAGGCAGAAATTGAAAAAAAAAACCTATTTTTAAACGGTTTGCTACACTTGCTAACGTCTTAAAAACATAAAACTTCAGGTTTTAATTGTTTGTGTACCGCATCGCGATCGGACTATTTGTATAGCGCTATTTAAATTAAAGAAAAACTGAGTAACGAATAAAAACTTAATTTGTTTCGAATTAGGTACTTAATAAAAAAAGTATTATTCCTTCTTTTCTTAAACTTCAACTTCTCAAAAAAGTATATTTGACTTGAGGGCGGGGGGAGAGGAGGAGGGGGAGGGCGTCATGACTCCCCCCCTAGATCCGTGCTTGCACACTAAGCCCCTCCTATCTTCTACACACATATTAGATTTGAGCTCGCTTGACTTAGATTCCCAAGCAAGCGTGCTGCCATTTTTTTTTGGACATCGCTTACGCATACCTGTATACATGCAGGTTGTTATGTGAGACTCACCGGTTAGAAAAGCCAGTACTGTCCACTCAAACCAAAGAGGATCTCCCCCTTCTTAATGCGACGTCCCAGGATGCATTGCCATATACATGTCCATCTATACTAATATTATAAAGGGGTAAAGTTTGTGAGTTTGTGATGTTGTAAGGTAGTCTCTGGATCTACTGAATTGATGTACATGAAATTTGGTAAGAAGATAGTTTAAGACTCTGAGAAGGACATAGGATACTTTTTATCCCGAAAATCATCCCTTAAGATGGTGAAAATGGGGATGAAAGTTTGTATTGGGAAGAAAGCTAGAAACTAATGAGTCGCTAGTGTATAAATAATCCTATGTCCACACGACGCAGGTACTAAAGCGTCGTACGGCAGTGAGCGAAGAGGAGCTGTTGGAGACCATGCTGGCGCTGCGCGCGCACCGCCACGCGCAGCTGCCGCCCGCGCGCCGCCGCTACCTCGCCGTGCGCACCGTGCTCGAGCTCGCAGAACTCATGCGGGAGAGGTGACTTGCACACATACATACACACACACACACATTCGTACATACATACATAAATAAATATTTTGGTACATTAACATTTTCGGGTGTCAAAAAAAGTAGCCAAATCCGGGAGAGGATAATAGTTTTTATGTATCTAATTATCTTTAAAACATTTTGTCTAATTTTAAAATAGCCTAGTTTATGTTTATATTATAATTTTCAAACATTTAATAAATAATAAATATGTTGGTATATTAAATAACACACAGCACCGTTTAGTTCCATGGTAAGCTACGAGACATGTGTTACGGATACCAGATAGTTGATACACTACACATTAAAAAAACATATAATACAGCAACGATTATGTTATTTGCATAGAACTAGTTAATGGGCGGAAGAATAAATAATTTAAAACTCTTCACTTGCAATCTATAAGTATAATAAGAACTACAATACTAGTTAAACAATTATTGTATGCTATATTTCTGTTTATAAAACTTCCATTGTTATTGTTCAAATCAGAAAACCCACGGACTACGAGTCCCGCGGACGTATATCCGGGTCCCGGGAGTGGCGCGAAGAGAGAGGGGAGATCGGGCTCACTCCGGCGGGGCACTCGTTTGACTTCACCAAAGTGGGCAACCACGGGGTCCGGTACTATACAGCATTGGACAAGTATCGGGTCCACACGAATGGGGCAGAAGTGGACCCGATCAATAAGTGGACCAACGGCGTGTACGAGTGCGAGAATATTTTCAGGAAGGTGGAGGAGGATTGGCATCAGGCGTATTTAGCTAGGGAAGGTCAGTGTTTTTTTAATATATATATTTTCAGGTTAAACTTAGGTATTTAATTAATTTGTGAATTAATGAATGAGAGCATTTATTACTGAACTAGCAGAGCCCGTGGCTTCGCTCGCGCTAAAACTACAAAAAAATCTTGGTTTTACGCTATCAGTAATAATAATATGTAAAGTCTGCCAGATTTGTTGACATTTTTGATTACTGCTTCGCTCTCTTGGGTAGTAGCATAATGATATATAGCCTATAGCCTTACTCAATAAGCGGGCTATCTAACGCAAAAATAATTTTTCCAATTTTTTTTTTACATTAAGACTATAATTGTCTTTTTTTTCTCTCATTGTTAAATAAGTCTACCACTCATTATGCTTGCATAAATAATTATTATTGCATAACTTATGGCCTCTGTAAAGATAACATCTGTGTATTTTTTATGTTAAGGTTTAGTTGTGGATTTTGTATAATAAATAAATAAAATCAAATCAAATTAGTAGTTCCTGAGAATAGCGTGTTCAAACAAACAATCAAACTCTGTCTTAGGTATTTAATTAATCTGTAAGTTGATAAGAGCATTTATTTCTGAATGGCAAACAGCCATTTGTTATATATTATGGATAGCATTAATGAAATAAAAAACAATATAAGAGTATTAAGTAAAGAAGTCATAATATCGGAGACCAATGTCTTAGTTTTTTAAATCATCATATTATGCTTATCTATAAAATAAATTATAACGCGAACAAATACAAAAGTGGAATAATTGAACATTTTTTTAATATGTTCATGATATATGGACTAAATCATTCTCTTATCCGCTTACTCCCCTCCCTCTTTTCTCTCTTTCCCCTTTATCTATACAGATAAATAAAATTGAATGAATTTTGATTTTGAAGAATTGAATCTGTTTGTAATATCAAAATAACAGCTTTTTACTAAATGAATATGAAATTTTATATGGAACTTGTAAAATTTAATTTTCTTAAAAATACAATTTTATTTTTTTTTGTCTGTCGGTCTGTCTGTATGCCTGTTTGTTTCGGCCAATCTCCGAAACGGCTGGATCGATTTTAAAGGATTTTTCACGGGCTTTTACTTTAGAAAAAGAATCAGGGTTCCGCGCAAAAATCATTAAAATCCATGAAATTGTGAATAAAATCCGCGTACTTAGTAGTAGAGGGTAAGTTGCTAGTACAGAATGTAACACGTAAGTAATGCTTCTGTCATATGAAGTTTTATGACCTGACCGATTCCGGCCACGGCGGCCAATCTCATTGAGACTAGCCAACTGCGCAGGAGATATTATAGTGCACAAGTGTACGCGCAGACACAACGTGCACTCTCTACCAGACAGACAGACCAGTGACAGTAAGCCGCAGGACCGACGGCTTTAAGTGCTCTGCCTCGACATGGAGGGGAAACACCGCCAACTTCCCACCTCCGAGCTGTTACTAAGGCTTACTATACAGAAAGAATCAATAACTAAACTTGGCCCTATCCGGGACTCTAACCCAGGACCTCCGGGTGTCGCAGCCGTACATGCTAGCCACCACTACACCACCGAGGCTGTTAAAAATGAAGTATTACCACCCTTGTAATATAATAAAAAAAATTTTCTGTAAATTTTTCTATGCAGAAGGAAAGTCGACCGGATCGATTTCGTGGCGTTTCGCTGCTAAAGGAAACGATATGATATTTAAATCGATTTCCATCAGACTAACATCGGCTTTATATGAAAATGGTTGTATCGAATGGACGATACAGTTCGATGGTGAAACGTGCATTCCTGTTGAGTTAGGAGGTGAGTTATCTAAATTATATACATATAATAATAATAATAATTTAGCCCTTTTAATGCCCTGTTACTGGGCAAAGGATTGCCCTCAATATGAAATGAATTGGGTCGTAGTCCACCATTCTGGTCAAGTGCGAGTTGGTGGACTTTAAATGACTTTCATAAACTAGTTTAAGGTTTTCTTATGTATGCAAATTTTCTCACGATATATACATTCGCCGCAATGAGACTGAGATTTTGACACTCTACACTCCTTACTTATTAGTTAGGAATTCTCCTAATTTTGTTACCGTATTTTATTACCTACGGGTATTTTTACTTATACATTAATATACATATATCATACAAAGAATAAATAATGATTTATATATATATATATATATATATATATATATATATATATATATATATATATATAATGATTTATTGTTCTAAGCTTGTTCTGTCTTGCCAGTAAGGAATCTGTTTCATCAATAGAAATACATTTTAAATGAACAAACGTACGATTATATTACATAATACTTTTTTTAGATTCACTCAAATAATTGGCATTTTAATGAAAATATTTTTTCGGTTCTTTTGTTAGTTTTACTTCGTTTTTGGTTATATTGTTTGGTTTGTGTATCAGTCTGTCTTGTGACAATATTTTTTGTAAACCGTTCTAAAACTTCGGGAATCAAAATAGAACCGCAAAAATATTTTCATTTAAAATACGATTATTTTACGTATAAAATACATTGTACATACAATATGTGTATGTATTCAGCCCTTTTTAACGTCCCACTGCTGGGCCCGGGCCTCCCTTCAATACGTGGATTAGGCCATAGTCCAACACGCTGGCCAAGTGCGGGTTGGCGGACTTCACATGTCGTTCCAAAACTTGCTAGGTTCTCTCAGAAATGCAGGTTTCCTCACGATGTTTTCCTTCACCGTTAAGACAAGTAGTAATCATGTTGGAAATGATTCGCACATGAAAATATCAGAGGCTTGAGACACTCGGTTTCCCAAGAGTGCGCGTTACCACTCGGCTACCACGGCCTTCATACATAAAATATAGTAGAAATAAATCGGTCTCTATTGGAACACAGAAGTGGTAACGATCCACTCGCGCGACTTCACGTGCTGCGTGTTGCGCGCGCGGCTGTCGGGCGGGCGTGGCGACGTGGCGTGGCAGCACGCGCAGCTGTTCCGGCAGCCCCTCAGCTGTGTGGCCAGCGCCTTCGAAGTGCTTCTCCATTTGATTAGAAACAAATAAATAAAGAAAAATATTAAAGAGTTCGTGTGTCAATGTGTACACGCGATTTGTAAGAAGTGAAACTTCTGTAGGTTTTGTCTTTTGGGTAATTTTTAAGAAATTCAATTTACGTTTTAAGTAATTAAGTTATGAAAAATACAAAAAAAATTGTATAAAAAAAACTATATTTTATTTTTCACATAGTGCATACAGATGGTGTTAAGATTGATTTTCAATCAAATTTAGTAATGATTCAATAAATTATATAGTCCAATAAAATAAATAATAATACAGGAATGCAAATTTTTTAATGAAAAAAATGTATATTTATAATGTATAAAAAAATATTTCAAATAAAGGTAACGGTCCGGTGTGACCGTTTCCGTTACAAAAATCGTAACGCCAATCCTTTTTTTCCCCTCATGGCGCGCCTAAGGAAGTCTCACTTCAAAAACAATTAAAATTAATTGATTTATTTATCAAATAAATAAATTAATATGTCTTAAATGTGTTAGTGGATTCTCAGTCACTTTTGTCTAGTAAATAAATAATTAATACCATCTGTTTTCAATGTGATATAGCAATTTGAATGTTAGCTTAAATCATTTGGTTTATGAATATAATTTTATTTACATCATTTAAAATCTTCCAATAAAGGAATTTATAGAGTACAAGTTGTCATTAAATATTTTAATTTGAGTTCAGTTTTTTGCGCTTGGCAGCATTTTGACATATTGATGCGAAAATATATTGTTTTTTTTTAATAAATTTAAACAATAATCGATATTAAAATGAATTAATTGAGAAAAATATCTGACGTAAATATGTATTGACAATCGCAATTGACGGTCCGTAAGAAACTTTTGATCGAAATTTTTTATACCTTTGACCACGTATTATTTACATATTATAAGTTACTGCTATAAAAATGTTTTTTTTTTCCAAAGAAGGTTGTATTGACATGACCTGTATTTGCAAAAGATTATTAATTTTTTTATAATAATATAACATTATTAAAAAAAAAATGGCAGAACATTATATTATATTACTATTGCTATGTACATTAATATTTTATAGTTTATATTTTTGTTATACGTTATATAAAAATAATGAGTTTTATTTGATATTATGTCATATTTAAATTCATTCTTATTTTTGTACTTTTTCTTATGTCATTGACAAAAACCTTTAAGTACCATTGTAATAGATTGCACCATTTTATTTTTGAACGTATAGTAATTATATTGTGTACTGTTTCTTTATGTATATTGCTTAAAAGTTCGATATCTAATATCAAATCACTAAATGTACTTTTTTTTATTTTTAAACCATTAAATAAGTTCCTACATATGTTTTAATATAGCACAATCTTCCCCCATCTCCCCTATACACTGGCATTTATCTAAACATGGGAGAGTATACGCCTATATTATAAAGTAGTGATCTGCTCTAGCTTTTTTAAAACCTACCTATTTACTTTCCTTAATTAATATCTATTGCTTCGTTATTTAATTACTACAAATTTGCTATCTCCATATATATATAATCTTTAATAATGTATTTAATATTTAAAAAATATTCGGTGTTCCGTAGCAATGCTTAAGCATTCCATAGTCCAATAGATTCCTTACACTGACATGTCCTTACTATGTCACTATAGTCATGTATCATATATGTACTTTTAATGTTAGTAGTAGAAGTCTGAAGGAGAAATCATATACGGTAGAATTATATGTGTATACCTCTATCTCTTTCTCACGCACAAATGCACACACACATACATACCCGCACATACACACATACACACGCGCGCCCGCACACACACGCACTACGGTTTCAGACCTTTTGCGCATGTGCAACAATTAAATTTACTTACATTGTGCGTCAGTTGTAACAAAAGTATGAATTTAAAAGACACACAATGTAGGCGAATAGAAAGAGATAGCCGTTTGATGTCTCATTTACTCCGTGATCCACTTACGTGTATTTATATTAGATGTACCCCTATAGCACTGCATAATTGTATAACATAATGTATTTTGTCAGGCAAAATTTTAAATAATCTTAAATATTAGCATGTTTAACAAGTACATTTAAATTTTAAGCACTAGATGCGTTAGTATAATAAATATGATCTCTTGATATGATTAAAAGGTATTAAATTAAAATATTGATTAATTAAATTAAATGTCTACCATTAATACATTTCTAAAGGGTTTCTTATCATATATACAGATTATAGATGTATAAATGTTTATTGTATTGATAAAAAAAAAAAAAACAAAAAAAAACAAACATTTTCAGAATCAATATGACAGATTAAATAAGAAATTTCAATGTTCTGCTCTTAGTGTTCATATATAACATAATAATATTTAATAAATGTACCAAAATTTAATGAATTTCATCTACTGTTGTAGTACATGCTATATAATTATAAAAACAAGTTGTGATTATACACACAACGCAAAAAAATTATTATACACGTTTTATGTACACGTATTTAATCTTCATGTAATATTTTCATATAATCTGTTTCAACGACTATATGATGAAGTACTCGTAGTTCTATCTGTTGTTTCTGGGTAACTAGGTTTCACTTTTCATCCAATAAAGTTCTTTCAACAATACGTTTCGTTTTATTTACATATTTTTAAATATACTGTTGTCTGATTGGCCAAGATGTCATCGGTTCGACTGCCGGCGCCGGGTCCTAAAAGGTTTTAAATCCGTACTAATATAATATATATGGGTGATTCTTCAAAATTTGGTTAACTTGGTGTTAGCAGCAATTTTCACATGTTTATATCTATTTTATTGAATATTTGCAACTACTAAGCAATATTATAAAGTTCATGTAATTTGGTCACTCACTTTGATTTATATCACAATATTTTTTATTTCCGAAAATCGCTTCTTTCTACTCCTAATATCAGGCCCTAGCCATGTAAGATCTCCCAAATTTAGCAAGCATTTCATTGTTATTGTAATTCTCTAAATCATATTTGATTTAACGCGACTTAAACACTTTTACTATTACATTATTAACCTAGTCATTGCGATTTTATTTTTAATAACAATAACTTTTATCATATTGTTTCAAGTTAAAAAGTGTAAGCGTTAAAAAATATCAGTCCCTAGCTATGTGCGAAATCCGAAAATACGCGGCATCTAAGCTTATGGCGTTTTTCAAAACTTACTCAAGCGAAAGCATCGATGTGAAGTTAAATGTAAACACGACCAATGCCGCATCAGCTATTTAGTTTTTACTGCAGTCGCCGACTTTGTTACGGAAACACGTGCTGTGCCAGTCAAACTCTCAGTCCCTAGGTAAGTCGTTTCAAAGATAGTTAATTAATAATTGATCTCATTACTTATTGTAAATTTGAGCTTTGTCTGCCTTGTTATTTTGATCACCTGCTGGTTGTTATGTTTATTTTAAATAATAGGTTATTTTTGATTTTGCTTTGATTCGTCAGTCCCTAGACCGTCAGGCCCTCGTCGTAAAAGTGACTAGGGCCTGATGGCACACCTAGGGACTGACGGTCATACTGCGTGATCCATGGTTTTAATAATAAAATATATGTATTTGTTGTAGAATATGGCAACTTAAAAGAAAACATTACTTTCCAAAGGAGAACTCGCCAAAAAAAAGTGTGAACAGGCAAAGAAACGTTCGGAAAAAATTAAAAATATTTTGCTAGCAGAGTACAAAGAAAAGAACGACATAAATATCCAAGGAAAAAGAAAAAGGACAAAGGAAATGTGTCAAGGACATGACACCGCGTGAGCATAGAAGAACCACGAAACAGAAGACTGAAACGTAAAATGACGAAAAATAAGAAAGCACTTACACCAAAAAGTAAAATTGAAGCCATGGCTAACGAGCCTAATCAAAAAGCTGAATTGATAAATGGCACAGAATTTCAAATAAATGAGAATGATATCGCTGACGTGCCTTACGAAGAATGTTTTAGAATAACTGCCAATTCCTAATCTAATAGGGTGGAACCGTGTTTCACAAATTTAAGAAACATGTTGTCGCTTACGAAAAGTAGAACAAATAAATAGTGATGTGATAGTATTTGTGATTAATTAGAGAAAGAGTGATTATTACGTTCAAATTATAATTTTGTTACTTAGAAAGCTAATTTTTAAAGTATTGTTAATTATTTAAAGATTTTTAATTTGTAACTACTAAACTCAAAGTCCAGTTAATAAAAGAAAGCCTATGGTTGTAACTTTTCAGTTTACTCAGATTTTATAAATTTTGTTTACTGAAGAGATAAGTAGGTAATAATAAGTTTCACTGATATAAAAAATAGCTTGTCAAGGTAACATAAAATTGATTGTCTACTTCAGTACATTGAATATTTTTGAGTATGATACTAAATTTAAGATTGTAGGAAGACAATTCTACTTGTTATATATAAAATATCTTATATTTTGACTGTTTGTTACAATAACTAATAATAATATGTAAGTTATTTTATTTTGTTAAAGTTAATTTTGCTATAAAAATGTGATTAAACACATTAACCGTCTTTGGCGTCAGTCCCTATCATGTCTCGTCAGTCCCTAGATAACTGATTTCGAAAAAACTTGAATTTCTCTTAAAATACATTGTAAAGTGACTGGCCCTTTTAGATGCAACAAAGTAAATATTATATCCACAGTATAGAATCAGAAATTTACTGATAACCATCTAAAAAGACCTTTGTCAAAATTAGGCCATAAGTTAACCAAATTTTGAAGAACCACCCATATATATATATAAATGTGAAAGTTTGTGAGTATGTATGGATGGAACTGATCTGGATGAAATTTAGCACAGAGATAGATAATAGTCTGGAATAATACATCTCACTCACACTGACATTTTTATCCCGGAAAATGTATGGTTCCCGTGGGATAGGAGGAGGAGGTGGTTAACCGAGCGAAAAGAGGGTAAGCCGCTAGTTATTTTTATAATTCTTTAACGATTCGTTAAAATAAAATTTAGTATGTTAAACTTAAGT